TGCAAATTATTTATCTTTCTTTACCTTTATTAAATATTTTGCCTCTGAGGGTGCTTGTATTAAGGATGAGAAAACGTGTTTTCTATTCAAGGAGGAAACACTGGCAAAATGAAAGGATGTGGGGCAGTGGAACAAGATGATATTTAAGGTCTCTTCCAACCCAAACCATTCTATAATTCTATGATCTTAAGATTTAAGAGACTGGAGCTGTTAAAGCTGCCCTGTACCTGCCTGCCTGTCTCAATAACTGAGACTGTAAATGCAAGAGATAAAAGATGCTTAAGTAATTAGCTATGTGAAGATTTTTGTGTTCCAGGAGCCATGGTGTATCATTGTGCTTCAACAGGTTATGGCTAACAATTTCTCATCTGTATGCAGCTGTACAAATTTTTATATGTATTTATATACAGTCACACATTTGTGTGTATGTATGTTATTTTTCAGTGATAGGTTTTTGCAGGCTGTGAGGGGAAGAGGTAAATTTGTATAAGCAAAGCTACTGCCTGTGCATTTATCACGAGCTTCAAGTACCTCCCTTTCCCCTAAAATAAGTCATAGGTTCAGTTCTGACTTCCTTATTTTCTGCCCAGTAAAACATGAATTATAAAGTTATTTTGCCAGTCCATGGGTTCTGTATTACTGCTCTGATGGGAAGAAAACAGATAGGAATGAAGAAGAAAAGAGCTGAAATAAGGACATGTGGAAGCTCAGACATTTACCTTTGTGCATTCTTCATCTCAGGCTCTTTAGAGATGAGACTATTTTTCTGCTGCTTAAGATCTTGCTTTAAGATCTACTTGGCCAATAACAGAAATGCACGTGGCTTTTGTACAAGAAGATGTTTTGTGGTTTAGAGTAGAAATAATGTAAAAAGTCTGAAGATGATTGTTCTTGGTACAATGACATATATAGAAGGAGATGGGCAGCTGAAGTCATAGTATTTATGCTTGAAGAATCTAGCTAAGAACTTAGGTTTGCTGGATAGTGAAGTTCTCTGTGCCCTGTAATTCAGAAATAGATTTCATATTTATAACTGTCTGTTCCTCATGTTCTTTCAGACGATCTGACCTGCTTTCTCTATCCAGTGCCCTGCTGACTTTAGTGCTTTTTGCTTCTGGCGAGGGAAGTGGGGAGGATCCTGCTGTCCCAGCTGGAGGGATGCATGGGCAAGCAGCTTATGGTGGGAAGGCTGCTCGCTTGCTTCAAAAGTAGGTCAGGACCACCTGCTTATTTGTTTATTTTAATAGGCATCATGAGGCTATAGATGAATTTAGATGTCTTGGATTTTTGTCCGTATATAAAGAGGAATAAGTCTTGTTTCACATGTTACTGTGCCTAAATGATTTGATATTTTATAATATATACATTTCCATGAGGAACTGTTTTACTGTGACAGGTACAATTTTAAAAACAGCCCTGTAAGATCACCCCAATAATTTTTTGCTATTGAATTAGATTTATATGCATTTTTGCATATCAGCCTGCAGTGATTTTGATAAATTTTACAAGTGTTGTGAAATACGTATTTAGCAGATGTTATGAAATCTTCAGACCTTTATGACTAGTGCTGTAGTTTGCAACAGGAGTGGGTGGTTACTTCCCAGCTGAGTGTGTTTTATGCCAAGACACAGTCTGGATTGACCTTGTACTGCCAAGTCATAAATGCATAAAGTCTGTGTTGCTAATGGAAACACTGACAAGCCTTGAGCCACAGTGGACTGGCACAATAACAATATTAAAATTTCCAGCTGCAGTTAATGTCAGATTTTTCATTTCATTTTTGCTGGCTGGCAGCTGGTGGTGGCCTCATCTCACAACAGGCTGAAGTGTCTAGAATTTTTTTTGTTGGTATTGTCACAGCACAGACTCTTGTTAGCCTGAATGAGGATGACTTCTGTGGTGATCCTGCTCTGGTCAGGGGGGTTGGACTCTATGATCTCCAGAGGTCCCTTCCAGGCCCTCACATTCTGTGATTCTGTGACGTAAAACCCAATAAAATAAAATAAACATGCCTTACTTGTTGTGAAGGCAATGAATAGGAGTCTTGGGCATGTTGAGTTTGGTTATAGTGCTACTTGGGAGATGAGGCTTGTGGGCAGCATCATTTTCCAACCACTGAAGTTCAGGCCAGCTGTTGGGGCAGAGATGTAAGAATTGTAGACTTTTACTGACACTTGATGTTAATTATTAACATTATAGTGCATGTATTAATGTTTACATCAATTAGTGTCAGTTTTCAGAGATCCCAACTGATGTCTTGTTTTAGAACTTACTTCCTTTGTAATATTGTAACGTCTCTGAAAGGTCAGAGAGTCATATTGATGATGCTCTGGGTGAAACTACTGGCACTGTTGATTGAGGATCCTGACCTGTGCTTTTGAAAATCAGTTTCCTGCTGTTGAAGGACTGATGCAAAATACAGGTTTGTGGTGTAGCGGACCACATGCAGGTGTTGAGACCAGGGATTCCTGAATTTGGTTTTAATGTGGTTTTTAATGCCCTGAGAAAGGGTAATTAATGTTGTAGTTCCTCTCTAACAAGAAGAAGAAGAAAAAATAAAAAAGTTCTTGCTTTACAAGAGTGTTCTAAAGGTTAGTAGGTTAAATATGGAGAAGGGAGCTGTTGTACTTTAATCCTGATTGCTGTAGCAGCAGACTCTCTGCTTATTTTTCCTCCTCTTGTTGCGAAGCAGCTTCCCTTGATGCTATGGTCACAGTGTACTTCCTGATACATGAAGTAACATGTCACCATCCACTCTCTGATTCAAGGGTGGCTGCCACTGGTTCTTCACCCATGTCTATTTATTATAAATATTTTCTGATTATTTGCAGCTCTCTGCTTCTGTATTTTAGATCTTGTCTTTTAATCTAATTTCAGTATATTTTCTGTTATATTTGCCATTGCTAATCTTGTGTTAGACTTTGAGTATTTCCTACCTGTCATCACTTCAATTGCTGACACAAACCCAGCCAGAAAGTCACTTGGGCATTTCTCCTTTCATTTTTTGGGTCTTTGGTCTTCTGTTTTTGTCTCAAATTGTTTCCAGTTGTTTGTAAGCTATCAGTGTCTTTGCTGTCATTGATACTTTGTACATGAAAAGCTGCAAAGTACTTCTGGATGTTTGCTTTCCTCAAGATGTCAAAATGCTGCTGTGATGGGAAAGCTGAGGTTTGGGAGTCTTGCTGAGCACACAGGTGCATGAGATTCTAGTGGATGTATCATACTTGGGTTTTCAGAGAACCTTTATCATAAAAGTTTTCCATCAAATTATTGAAGGAATGAAGTTGCTCTGAGAGTGAAGGAAAAATTCTTTTATGGATTGCAGGTTCCTTGAAGAATAAGAAGTGAGGTACTTATCAGTGACTTGTCACGATAGAAGAGAGTCAGTGATGGACTTCCCCAAAAGCTGGTTCTGGTACCAACGTTGTTCAGCATCTCCAGTCATCTGGAGAGGGGATTTAACAGTGGACATTCCCATTTTTTGAGGTGTTAACAAACCCTGATGTAGCCCAGTGCCATGCTGATGGCAGGGAGAGCTGAGCAGGAAAAAGGGGTGGCAGACAAGCCTGCAGGTAGTTGAATGCCCAGTAATGTTTGTAAGAACAGGTAATCTCTGCCATGCCTACGTGGAACTGCCAGTTGAGCATCAGCTCGACAGTATCTGGTAGTGCTGCTTTTCAGTTCTCCAAATCCTCAGCTCTTGGTTCAGTGACAGCCCAAAACGCTGACAGGATGCCAGGTGCCATCAGATCGTTGGGGACAGGCAGATGTTTAAGGGGTTGGAGCCTGGTGAGATGGGGGCTGACAAGCCTGGGACTCCTCACTTGAGTGGGTAAAGCCAAGGGGGAATACAATCAAGGTTTACACAGCTGTGGAGGTAGTGCTAAACTGAATGCAGTGGTGAAGAGCACACATCAGGACTACTAAGATGGCAGCTTAAAGCAGGTAAGAGAGAAGAGCTGCTTTATGGAGTGGAGAGCAAATACCTGGAGTCTATCCCCAAGGAAGCTGTGGAGTCAGACAGGACTGTAGGTGCTGAAAGGGTTAAGACAGCTTCATTCTCAG